TGTCCAAGTGGTGTTCCAGCAGAATTATAAGAGACATTGCTGGCTATATTTTGGCTTCAGGGTTCGGACAAGAAACGGATAGGATTCAGGGCAACTTTTATGATCTACTTCAGGATCCAAACCCATAAAGAAATTTAGAATCCACTGGAGAATCCAAATCCAATAAATAACCGGGTGTTTTTTCCAGTTTCAGATTATCTGATTTTAATTTTCATTCCAAATAATATAAATTTATGTTAAAAATCAACTAAAACTTTAATGTAAGTTTTATCTTGGCACAATGTAACTTTTGTTTCTATGTTAGCCATGTCAGTCATGTTTAAATATGCTGAGATTAAGTTATATAAGTCATGTTTAGAAAGAAAAAGAAACTATGCAACTAAAGTTAAGAAAAAATAAATTTGTATAAATATTTATTAAGTTATCAGATGTATGAGCTACTTGATTAAGCATCTGCACGAGACAGTGAGCTCCAGCAGGAAAATTATAAAACAATAAAACCAGAGAAAGCAGCTATTCAGCAATTGGGAATCGTAAGGGAAACAATGACAATAAATAAACGTATGTGAACTTACTCAAAAGGAGGTTCAACCTCAATTCCAAGTGTCAGATGTAAGGAAAACCCAGAAGATGTGTCATGCCGAGATTCATTTTCATTACTAACTGTACGAGCTTCATGAACAAAACCTCTAGGAATATATAAAACATCCCCAGAATTTAAGATATACTGAATATCACCAGATTCATCATTCTTTAAACTGGACACAGTTGCAACAGGTTCATACAATCTGGGTAAATGGGTCGCTGAAAAAGGTGAAATTCTCCATTGCTTTTGTCCAAATAACTGCCAAACAAAAACACAATGATCATCATAGTGCTGAGCCAAACCTTGAGAACCAGGTGGTGTGAGGTATATATTAGCCCCAACTGATGGTTGGCCAAATAGAATCGCAAGGCCATCAGCAACTGCAGCAATTTTATCAAATCGGAATTCCATCCCACGAATAGCAAGCGTGTATCCGTCTTGAAATGCTTCTTTGCACATTGGAATATCTGCAACATCAGTTAACTTTGAGGCCGTGTTGTCATTGAAAAAGTGCATCTCTTTACCCGCATCCCCCTGATCAACACCTGAAGACAGCTTCTGTGTTTTTAGGACCCTAATGTCCTGTCCATATACAATAGGAGAACCCAAAACACCTCTTGCTTCATTAAGGAACAAAAAAATGTCCAACTCATCTGAAGTGATGGGAGGACAGGCAACAAGATGTTGCAAGACTGAGTAAAGGATTGTTTCAGTAGTTGCTGGATCAAAACAATGAATCAATGAGCTGAATATGGTAGCTTCATTCTCTGTATTATTTAATGTGTTTTGAATCAAACATGGTGATTCTTCCCAGTAGTCCATGATAAAATTCATAAATTCAGATTCTGTTCCGAATATACTTAATCTAACATCACTTGCTGCCCAATTAGGAGAAAGAGCTCGGTTCATAGTAATTTTAAAAATAACTGAGGCAATATCATATTTTGTACTCCTCACAATCGGTACCGCAGAACGTTGCATTTTCTGGAATAGTTTTTTCAGCAAAGGAAAGACGTTTTCTACTGGTTCTTCTGAAATATTGTTCAAGGATTCTTCAGCGGAAGTATCAATGAGGATAACTGCCGCATCAAGGAGTGATGTTGGAAGTTTATTATCTTTATATGCTCTAAGGGAACGATCACTGCTTTTATTATCCATACTAAGGAAAGGACATTCAGGAACAGTTGCCACCTGATAAAATAAAGATCTACTAGAAGTTAACTTAATGGTAAACAAGAATGACATAACAGAAGAAAAAATAGATATATGCATATATAGAGAGGTCTATAAGATGGAAGTCGGGAAATATTTCAATGAATCGAGATTTCTTCAATAAATATCAAATAATACAACAAGATGCATCTTCTATAACAAAAGATAATGCATGAGCATTCCTTTAGAGAAACAATGCTCACTCCTCCAATTAACGACGTAACCAAAGGCCTAAATCCTCTAAGGGTGTGTTTGGATTTCAATGGGGTTAAGGGAAGTTAAGGGAAACTAGGTGAGAGAATGGAAGGGAAGGGAGTTCCCTTCCCCTTGGTTACACCCCAATTTGGGGGTAACAAATTTTATACTATTAGGGGGTGAACCAAGGGGAAGTTGAGTGAATAACTTCGACTCCTAAATATTCCCAAACAAGGTGAATGATTCCTCTAACTTCCCTTCACCCTTATTCCCCTCAATCCAAACAAGCCCTAAAGCTGGCTGGCAATAGCGAAGGGTAACTTGACCATTAACATAACAATGAATTTGACCAAGCCTACTCGATTTTCGCTGCGAACTCCTTTTTTTTTTGGTGCTGCGCATATAGAGATGTGTGCCGTACTATTTACTCTGTATCTTCGAAGTCTTAACTGTATCGTGTGTCTTGAATTTCATAAAAGCAGTTCTACAATGTTCCTAAAACACCAATAGAGCACAAGGCAACAGAAACCAAAATTAGAGAACTAAAGAGGCAAAATGAGACACTTACAACAACTTCTCCACAGCAGAAGCTCCCCTCAACCTCTCTCTCCCGATTGGCGAGGTCGCAACAT